AAGTACCCACGAATAATATTATACAATCACAACAAAATAACTAAAATCGTAATTCTTGGTTTAAATATGAAATTTTGTCTAAATTTGAAATTAAAATGTCTGTAAAAAATAAGTGTGTTTATATATTTTTTAGATTTTTTGGTTACAGTATGAATTATTTAAGAGAATCTTTGTTTTAAATTTTCAACTCTTAGTTATAAAAACTGAACATTTTATAATTTTTTAATTCCAACGATTGATTATTTTCGAGATTTTGATAAATTTTGTCAAAATTCCAACTTTAAATGCTTATAAAAAAAAATCGTGCCTATGTATTTTTAAAATTTTTCAACTGATATTGTAACAATATATAAGAAAGCTTTTATTAAATTTTCAGACTTTTTGGCCCACCAAATAAAATTTTATTGACAATTATAAAAAAAAAAACTAAAAAAATTGAAAACTGAAAATGTCCGTAAACAGCTCAAAAAGAGTCAAAATATTTTCAAAATTGTATGGTGTATAGGAAATGCTAATATAAACATTCAGTGAAATTTTCATGTATCTACAGTTATTCGTTTTTGAATTACAACAAAATAAGGAAATCGCTACATGAGAAATCGAGTGAAAATCCAATGTAGTAAAAATTTGAATTTCAAACGCTCATAAAAATTTAATTTGACTTTCCGGTAGAGATTTTTTTATTGATAAAGGTAGATAATCTTATAAGGAATCTTGTGTTTCATTTTCAAATCTTAGATTTAAAAAGAAAAATTTTTACGAATTCTTAACTCAAAATAATTTGCTAATTTTCGTGATTTTTCCATATTTTGTCAATTTTTGAACTTTAAATGCTTATAAAAAAAAATTGTGACTAAGGATTTTTAATATTTTTCATCTGCCTTTGAAACAATATATTAGGAGCCTTCTATTAAATTTTCAAGCTTTCGCAACCAACAAATAAAATTTTATTGATATTTCTAAAAAAAAAACTAAAAAAAAATGAAAAATGAAAATGTCCCTAAACAGTTCAAAATAAATCAAAATATTTTGAAAATGTTATCGTGTATAGAAAATGCAAATATAAACAACCAGTGAAAATTTCATGTATCTACGGTCATTTGTTTTAAAGTTACACCAAAAACCAAATTCGATTTTTTGGAAAATCGATTTTGCGTAAAAATTCCCGTTTTTCCTTAATTTTTATGTTGTTTTTCCCGGCGCTTGTGAAAACTACTGGAAAATGTTTACTTTTGACCCCCCAAAGTACCAACTAGATTCACTTTCCTATCAGAAAAGGTACTATTGAAGAAAATCGAAGCACTTTTACTGTCCCAAAACGTGATGACAGACACAAAAAAAAATAAAAAAATAAAAAAAAAAATAAAAAAAAAAATAAAAAAAAAATAAAAAAAAAATAAAAAAACACACATCATTGTAAAATCAATACATTCATCGTTTCACTCAGAATCTAAAATGTATTTTCAAATGTATTCATAGTTAGGTATATAATTTCAATAGAATATAATAGGTACCTAATTCCCATGAATATAATGGTATTATACACAGTATAATACACTGTGATATAACTTATAACCATGGTATAAGACTCTTCATGATAGTAAGTGAAATGGATTTGGTTTCTTGAAAAACAATAATTGAGAGAAAAATACATGTCATCAAAGAAATTCTTTTTTTTTTTTTTTTTTTGGTAAAAGGTTTCAACTAACTACAAATGATTTTAGCCTATATAAACTTAGTGATTATAAATAAATACAAAAATATATTATGTTCATATTTATATTTTGATAACATGTTTGGAAAGACTTATAATTTATAGTTTAGATTTATTTTGTTGTTTGTATAAACGTATACAATCTAATAACAGTTTACAAATCTCCACCACATTTAATTTAAATACAATCACTATAATCGGTTAACAAAAACATATCCTTTATGTATTGATAATTTACAGACACATACACACACATGGGATGTCTGTTTTATATCCATTACGAATTAAATCGATCGTAATAATGGTTTATCTATTGTTTTCACAGATGTTTTATTCTCACAAGAGTGTGCTATCTAACTTATACAAATAGTCATGGTTTACTACTAGTAGGAATAGTCTTTTTACTTATATTTATCAAGTTGTAAATATAATAGTAGGTCAAATTGATTTGAGATTAGATGGTATGTTTTTACATTTTTTATAGTTATAATTTTTAAATTTTTTTTTATCGAAGAAATTACCCTAATTTTTCATAATATGTAACCCTATACTATATCGATTGCAAATGTTTTATGTAAATTGTTTTTGAGTTGAAATTGTGAAGAGGTAATTGTTATTTATTTGTATTTGTTACTGCAGTCCTTGACCCTGCACAGATTAGATTAGGCGGTGCATGTAGATTTAGCAGTAACATGATATTTACAGTTGGTCCGATATTAATCTCAAAAGTATTAATAATTTATTTATTTAATATACATAGAGTACGTATACTTATATACACTTATTTATAATTTATAACTACTGATTTTCTATTAAAATGAACTTGATTATTTAGTTATTTTAAAGTGGAGCCAATTACAATTTTAATAAGGTGAACGATGGCGCCAATTACTTAATGTCCTTTTATTTAGTTTTGTGTGGTGCAAATTACAACCTTAAAAAGTGGCGTAAATTACCAAAATTAATTTTTAGATTTGGCCAAAATTACATGATATATATATTTTTTGGAGGGGTTGTTGTTGGCGAAAAAATTACATACGCCCGTACTTACCTAACCTAACCTATACCTATACCTATCGCATTAATGTGTTTATTATTCGATGTCTGTTTTCTAAGTATCATAACGAGATCTGAGAGTTGAATGATGTATACGGGGCACGTGTCATAATAATAATATGATGATATTCCGAACTATCATCCATAATGGCGTGTTTTCGGTATAATAATTGTACTCTCATAATAAAATATCGTTTAACGGAAACGTAAGTGGCGTGCGTAGGACCAATATAACCATAACTAACCATACGCAGGCGCGTGCTTTCTCCTGGTAAGTAGTATAACCTTATAATAGTACAGGTACATCGGCATTTAAGGAAAACGCGTTCGTGTGATTGGACTATTAAGATTAAGAGTTGGGCCGATAAAAATTATTGTACTTTGCATAACGTAGGTACCTACCATGATAGCCCACTGCCAATCAATTCGAGTTTTTGAGACTAGATGGTTTGAACATCGTCTTAGAGACTATAAATTGTATTATTCCTGTCCTCGTCGACGACACGTATGTTATGACATTTTTGCAAAAAATCCGTTTATATTTGGAGTTCCCCTAGTCATATCAGCAATTTGTCAATTAATCGACTTTAATTGACACCATTAACTTCCATAGCTCGATATTAAGTTAGGTATTTTATTTGATATCATTGTATAATGAAATCTGATTAGACATATTTGTGCATTATTATTTTTTCAAAATCTATTGATAACAAACTTTAATGAGATTGATCGTGGAAACTGGAGTAATTTGTTGAGTTAAATGTGTGTGTGATTGCTTCGAAACAAGATATTAAAAACGGATTCTATTTATTTTCAACTATGTGAATTCTGATATGTTTGTTGTGATGTTTTCAGTTACATGATTCAATAACAAATACTCGGTTAATACTCCCAGCACCAAACATTTTCTACAATCTTTAATTTAAATTTTCTTAGAAAAAATTGTAAATATCCACAATATTATTAAACAAACATGAAAACTCGTTACAACTTGTTTTCATATTGTTAATTGATAATTATAATTCATCATAAAATGTATAAGGTATGTATGTACATATTGTAAGTAGCTGTTTTCAGAATATTATGTTTCGGTTATATTGTTTAACTATATTATGACGGAGGCTTAATGTCTTATCGCACGCACTCGTTTATGTCTACAGAAATTCGTTTTCCAAACATCGTTTAAAAATATAATATATGTATACATAAGTACCCAATACTAGCTATTAAAATGTTATATTTATATGAACAAATTGATCCGTTTAATACGACTTTACTGATATTGAAATTAAAATCAGAATAGTTTGTCACGCAACATTTTATTTTAAATTTAAAGTTTAGATAGGAGTTGTGAAGGTCATGTCTGCAAATTCGTGATGCATTGCTCGGGCCATCTGAACTTAAAATGCTTAAATATTAAATATCAACTCAATCTAAATACCCAAATAATTATCAATAATTCTGATTTTGTACTATATTTTATATTATAATTTATAACCTCTTATGAAAATTAATATTCTGTTTGTAAAAAATCAAAATATCATTACGGTAAATATGGAGATAAATGAGATTTTTCACCGTAATTATACTAAGGTAGTAAGGTGGATTCCACGTAACTTCAAGATAGGTAATAAAAAAAAAAAAGTTTTTTCCTACCAAAAGTTTTTCAAGGTATTTATACTATTATATTATATAATATGTAGTGCGAGTTAAATACATATCGGCGTATCTGTCTGTACCTACCTAGTATATTAAGAAAAATAAACATAATATTATTATAAAGTGACAATCGTGATTTATTATGATAATAATTGTGGTATCTACAGTGTTGTGTGAAGTATTTGAGTAAAATTATTCAAATATATTTTTAATTACTTTCAGCATAAAGTATTTTCGATGGTTTTTTAAATACTTTTTTTTGTATTGAATAGGAACTTATTTGTATTGAATACTCTTGGATTATGAACCAATATGACTGACGAACATTTTGAAAACATTATGTTTCTAAAATATTTATTTAATAAATAAACTTAATAAAAATGATTATATACTTACTGTATCTACAGCTGCATTCTACCGTTATATTATATCTGTACGTTAAAATAGGTAATCACTCTGTACCTATATTAAAAATAATAATATTATAAGCCCGAGTGACAATCACAGGCGTGATTTATTATGGTATGAAAGTATTAATACGTTGGGTATGTTTTTGTTTTTTGCTCTCAAGTTTGAAAATCGAAAATTATATAGCATGTCCACACCCTATTTTGGACCCGTTCGACCCGATCATGATGAAATTCGTCCAAAAGGAGCCACCTTTGACCTGCGACCCGGAGGAGGATTGGGTTACTATCAAGGGAAACATCGCGCGTATCACCGACAAGGCTCTCAAGAAGTACGGTGACATCCAGTGCAAATTTATGGGTAAAATAAATGTTACGAGATGGTTTTTCACAAGCTTTCGTTTCATTTCCGGGTTTGTACATTTTTCAGACGTTTTGAGGGCCAACGAGTTCTCCACGTCGCTGGGCGTCGTGACCACCACTCACACAGAATATAATTTGGAGACATCGGACTTTTTCAGAGTTTACTGTGAGTCGGAAAACGGCCAATTCAGGTGAGGCGCATCATTCAGTTTTTAAATATACCTATTTAAACATTTGACGTCAAAACACCACATGTTCCGATAATGCTGTACTATAATAAGTCGTAAAATATACAAACGCTCACTCGATGTTGGTCGTTATCCAAAAATTAAAACACAATGTACCTACAATGATGGTGTAGAAGTAAAACCACTATGTAGATAGGCAAATACGTAATTATTATTTAATGGGACATTATACGGAAGCTCGTAATAATAATTTCTTATTAGTAATATTATTATGCAGTATTACAACGATTATTTTTTATTTAAAAACTCGACAAACAGTCTTTGAAAATAATTATTAAGACATTATACTAGGTACGTGTTTATTTCTATAATATGTGCACTACACTTATGTGTTTTTTTATTATTTTCGTTTACGTGATCACTATAGTTTGTATTATAATACATAATATATTAACTGATTTGAATTTGTTTTTTTTTTTTTTTTGCTTCAATGCAGTTGGGAGAGCCGCATGGCCGGCATACGATTCGACGAGGATGTGATCAATAGAGCCGGATGGGACCAGGTGCCCAAAGACGGGTTAGGCCTCAACGTTCTAATGATAGGATTGGACTCTATGTCAAACATGATGGTGCAGAGAATACTGCCAAAGGTTTATTCCAAACTCAAGTCTATGGGAGCACGCGTGCTCAATGGCTACAACATTGTCGGCGACGGGACTCCGCAGGCGTTGATACCGATTTTGACAGGCAATGATTTTTGAATGAGCATTATAATATAATATATTATTCGATAATTGTGGCCTAGTTAAAATAAAAATTTAAATTAAATCCATTTTATAATAATATGATCCAATAATTGATTACGCCTATAGTAAATGTATTATATTATGTATATTGTATAACATTTTAATCATCGTCACGTTCTTATCGTTACAGGACGCACTGAACTGGAGCTTCCGGACACTAGGAAACGCATGGGGAACAAAGCGTCATACGTGGACGTCTACCCGTTCATATGGAACGAGTTCAAGAAACACGGCTACGTCACTGGCAAGTATAATATTTAAGTTTTAGGTTTTATATTTTGTCTTTAACCCGAACCTCAATCCGTATATAATTAAGAAGCCTTTCGAATTCTGATCCGTCATATTGACACCGGGGCCTTACAGTTAATGTGTGCAGTAAGGTTCGGACTTGAAGGTAAAAGCCTTTTTTTTTTAATAATAATAATAGAGAAATAATTTTTATATAAAAATGCGTGTCATATAATATGTAAGATGATGAAGTATTTATTTTACCTTTTTTTGTCTCTTACTGATAAATGCCTTTTTTCCTTTTTCACTTTAAAGTCCTTTATTGTGTTTAGTTTTCAATTGATTTAATAATTTTATACACGACATACGTTTTAACAAATCGATAAGGTGTTCTGAAGACACTTGCATTGTCGGCTGTTAATTATTTTTAATGAGTTAATTTAAAGTGTATAAAAGTACTCATACTACCTATCTAGTATCTATATAGATTAAAATATGTTCATAATGTGTATATTATACTATATACTTACTATAGATTCAAAATTGTTCGTTAGTCCACCTCGATTACATTTTCTATGTACAAAAATATTTTAAATATTCAATGCTTATCTAAGTACAAGATAGTAATTTTTTTTAATACATACTAGTTAAATATACAATATACAAACTATTAATTTTTTTTATAAATTTTTTTTTAATAGAAATTCAATGCTTTTTTACTGATTATATAGACTTTAAATCCGGCTGAGACACGATTGAGCATAAAACACCTTTTTTACGACACGATTGTGCCAAATTGTCGGCGTATCAAATGAAATCAGAATACAAAAGAAAACCTACACGATTGAGCATAAAAAACTCTGCAACATTGCCATTTTCCATTTTAAACTATATGATACAAAAAGATTTATTTAAATAACTATTATAATTCAAAATATAATATATCAAAAAAATTACATAATAATAATGATAATGATGATAATAATAATAATAATAGTTAAGAAAATAATAAAATCAAATTATAGTACGAATTAAAAAAAATACTGCATGGCTTATAACTTTATAAGTCAAGAATACTATAGAGTATGGGTGATCGAACACTGATATTATTTAAATGATAATTTTGGAATTGTATTTTAATTTATAATTTTGGGTTTTCCTTTAATTTTAAATTTTTAAAAATTCGGAACTTTATTGCTCCGTAACTAATTTATTAACCGATAACATTGTCGATAAAGCTGGGCTCAGCTCACGACTCGCGTCTGGTATCATAACAATTATTGGTGCAATAATATGTGAAAATAATAAATTACGAAATTTCGGCCATGTAAATGTGGCAACATCGCATAAAATATTCTATGCTCAATCGTGTTGCTAAAAAGGTATATGCTCAATCGTTGTATGCTCAATCGTGCTTTACCGTTAAATCCGAACCCTAGTGTGCAGCCATAGACGATAAATGCGTGACATGATATTAATGGAAACTCATATAAACTATAGTATTTTTATTTCCTATCGTAAACCAATTTTCCCTTAAAGATCAGCAACGGAGCTGGTAGACGTAGATAGCTATCTACTTCATACAAATAATCTAGCATTTGAATATACTTGCATAATTTACAGTGAAGTGAATTATCAGACGTGAGACTGTTACATTCCATTTCTACGGAAAGAACCTACCTACTTATATTACAGAATATAAGTATGTATTATAATATATTAATTATATTATATTATATACAGAGATATTCGCATAGTATAGCATACCACATTTTCCTTTAATAATACATTTATTCATATTCTGATTTTTTGAAATTTTAAATATTCTACTCAAAAAGCACATTTTCAAATTTCTTTGTATACTAGGTATTTCAGGAGTGCCCTGTGGCTATATAAACTAATATTTTGAAAATGAGACCGTCCCCTTTCTATTTTTCTGAAAACTATTTAGTGGATATTTTTTTTAAACATTTTGATGTTCCTAATTAAAAATTCTACTAGTAATCTTTTAGTTATTAAAATGTTTGTAATAATAATATAATAGTCTTTAAAAATGGGTTAAGGCAAATCTATAAAAGATAGAATTTTGTATGTATATCAACCTATAAGCTGGAGACTAAGTTCTAGTAGTCCAATTTAATTGTTGAATTCTGATTTGAATTCGTTAGCCTCTTTTCAATATTTTGTCTTGCTAGCTTTTTAATACGTAAACTATCCAAAATAACCAAAATCTGTTTCCTACAAATCATAAAAAAGAGGCTGACGAATTCAAATAATTTTTCAAAATTGAAATTGGATTACTAGAAGTACGTTAATTTTTTTCCGGCTTATTAGCATTATTCATAGTCACGAGTGTACAAAAATATTTTTCGTGAGTGCTTAAGTTAACTTGTGCATGCGCGTATGTGTGCTATGGAAAATAGTTGCCCCGCAGCCGGGTGATATGAAATCTATTGTTATCAAGTTCGAATTTCATCAAAATTCTAATTTTAAATTTTACATGTTATATAGAACCACACTCACACTAATAATCATTTACGACTAACAAAAGGTTGCGGGCGGGGACGACAAGATTAAAAATTGCCTAAATTGTCCTCTTTAAATAATAGCCACTAAGAGCAGCCTTATTAACAAAAATATAAAAGATATGTACCTAATATTTGTTCTAGTATTTACTATACTTTACTTTAGTTATTTTGAAAAATAAATTACTTATGTTAATAGATTAATAATCACTCAAATTTCGAAATCACCTTATCTCCCATATCTTACAAACCAATAATATTATTGGTATATTATCCTTAGTAGGTACTCAAAGTTAAATAACTAAAACACTACTCGTATGAATTTTGATTCTAATATGTCAACATTATCAAAAAATAAAATTATCCATTAAATAATTTACAATGGAAAATAGAGGTTTTCATTTGTAAATCAGAAGTTTCTATCTCCACAGAATACTCCTTAATAGTACAAAAAATCTCATGAATTTGGAAATATGGTTTTAAGTTTATTTATAAATTCTAAAATTCATATTTTGAATAACTACATTCTTGAAGAAAAAAGGGGTGAGCTTGCTTGGTAAATCACTCTGTAATTCTGTATATTTTGTATAATAACATGTTTTCGAGATAACCATAAATCGCGGTTACCGTCAATCTTTGGTAGTAGCGATAACCGAAAAGTACCTTTTGTTTTATTCCGACCAGTGGGGTTTATTATTTTTTTTTTCACTTTTTGAGGTGAATACTATGATTTGTGATACATAAATATTTTAAAAATATATTGTTCAGAAATACAAACAACCACTCTCAAGAGTTAACATTGGAACATATTATATTTTCTTTAATTTTATTGATTATTTCTTCTGGGTTATATAGGTTATGCTGAAGATGTTCCGGACGTTGGCATATTTACTTACAGGCTAAAAGGATTTGACCAACAGCCGACCGATCATTATATGCGATCATATTACGTAGACGCGTCGCCAATGTTCAAACAACAAAAGCCTTTTTGTTACGGTTCTCTACCTAGACACAAGGTAATAATTTTTGAACATTTTATTTTATATTATCTTACGCATATTATTTAATACACGAAACGAACAAAGCCAAAAGACGAGTTAATTTGATAAATTCTCAATGCATAGAAGTGTGATGTATGTGTTGTGGTTACTAGTTATGCATAAATAATCTATAACATTAATAAATGGTATAATTTAAGAAAAGTGGCATCAAAAAATAAAATAAGTCATAATATTGTGATTAATTATTATGATATAAGTAATTAGAGAAAGTTAATAAAATAACTACGAAATGCATCACGAAAATAAAAACAATTATGATAATTAGGTATTATTTTTGTTATTAGACTCACCATTAGTGCACTCACAAATTGTTTGTAATATACATTTACCAGATGTTACCTTACAATAATTAACGTTAAAAAGACAAAATTGATAAATTGCTTTACAAAATAGTTGAAAATATTATACAATGTTGAATTATATTTTTACAAATAATGAATGTTTAAGACTTTATAAATCATTAATTATTCTTTTACCTGAATAGAACTATGTGCTTTATTATAAAAAGTATTCCGTTTTTTTTCTATTTGGGGATTACTTAATATTATTGCCTTGATTCTTGATTATTGAATGAGGGTTGAAAACTTGAGTGGACTTTTTAAATTCGTTTTAGTTTTCAATTGACATCAATTCATTTACAGATAATGCTCAACTACATCAAAGACATGTTTCGGGTGTACGAAGATAAGCCAAAGTTCATGTTTGCATTCCAAGGCGAATTATCCCATGACTATGCAAGCAAGGTATCAGTCGCGGAAAACGACCTGGTTGAGTGGTTGGAATGGTTTGAGAAGTCTGGTTACCTGAACAACACCATGCTGGTGTTTATGAGCGATCACGGTCAGAGGTATAATAAGAAAGTTTAACGGTTTTACAGGATTTCGTCAGGTGAATGTTCTCAAGGCTAATTATTGTTGTAAACCCACAGGTTTGCTTCGGTGCGCGACACACAACAAGGCAAACTCGAAGAGCGGATGCCATTTTTCTCATTCGTGCTACCTAAATGGTTTGACCGAAAATATCCGACAATGGCGTCCAACCTGGACAACAACACCAACCGTTTGACAACCCCTTTCGATATATACTCAACACTGATGAGTGTCCTGCATCGAGAAGAGCCTAAAACCGACGACGTGAACAAGCGTTCAATATCACTGTTCAACGAGGTATATTAGTGTAAACTATTTTAATTATTTGATTATTGTATGTTTTAATTTTACTCAAAATTTAAAAAAAATTGTTGGTGGAATAATTATCAGTTATCACAATAACATATTCGACTATCATACACATTGAGTGTCACAACTCGCAAGCGATTTTATGTTTTGATAATCGACTACACGATAATTATTAAATTACCATCGTCGCACCAAATCATTGCAGAAAACTCGTAATAATCACACTAAATCAATCACCCACATCTCTTTCAGATACCGCTGGAGAGGACGTGCAGAGACGCATATATCGAACCTCATTGGTGCGCTTGTTTGAAGTGGCAGCCGATAAGCGTGGATAGTTCGTTGGCCGTCGACGCAGCAGCAAACTTTGCACAGTTTCTCAACAGGTGAAAAAATACACACATCCTGCAGCTAAATTTAATAAATATTATGAAACGACTGATGTCTTTATATCCATGATATCCATCTAGCCATCTGTAGAGCCTGTTTCCTAGAAATGTATCCATAGACAGGCCAGTACTGGCTACCTCTAAGGGGCGTGGGTAAAAATATATTTATAAAACTATATTTTTATATATCCACCACCAAATTAAAAAAAAATTTGTCTACCCATGTATGTTTTATTTACAAACTACCGCCTGAAGATGTTTAACACAACTAACAGTTCACATATTTTAACCAACGCATTTTAGATGATAAACCATTTTTTCTTATATACCATCGAATCTTTGAGGATCGAAACATTCTAAATCCGTATATAAAATCTGATCAGATAAAAATCGTACATCTAAACTATTTATTATAGTGTCTATTATATAACTAAAAGTATATTGTGTGGCAAGCGCGGGAAGTGAGCTATTTCGCCAAAGACTGAAATTGCCTTCCCCGAGCCACATATACTATTTTTTGTCACGCCTCTGCGTTCATCGAACGCAAAGGTAATGCAACTATGCAAGGATCCATGCAACAACTAGACCACAATTCTATGACAGCAAAATTTCATGAAAGAAACGATTTGGTTTTATTTATTTTAAGCCTCAAGCATTCAGGTTATAATATAAGATGTAACCAAACATGTAAGTTTTGTAAGGACCGTGGTATAGATTTCCGTGTCTGGTTGTGCAGGCGATATGTGCTTGATATTTGCGTCTGGCACTTTTTGGGATTTCCACTTTACCGCCCTCTAGACCGAAAAATGACGCTTTCCAACGCCTCAACAGCTATCGAAAACCAAATTTTCGGTGCAGGCGTGACAACAATATTTGTATACGAAATTGATCAATTTCTTCTGTGTGAACTTCTTTATCACAAGTTAATTTAAACAACTTTGTTTGCGTTTCTTCGAAAGTTTTTCTTCCATTTCAATATCACGAAGCTAATTTTTATCAATTGTTTTAACTGCAAAGTCAATAAATGTCTTAGCAGCCTACTATTCTAACCTACCTTATTAGAAGGGTGTCCTGTAGAAAAACCAAAATAAAAACAATAATCAATGTACACACACACACGTCTTACATCGATTACGGTATTCGAATTTCAGAAGTCACCTCTATAGATCTATAGTTTATAATGTCATAAATGATAACAAAACAATTATTTACATAAATTAATATGTAGCTTCCTAATACAGTAAGTAATACACTAATACATATGCATAATAATTACAAAACATAACATTTGTATAATATAACACCCAAATAATATTATAAAATAGGTACACTCAAATATTATATAGTAAATATATATTACAATGATATAAAAAAGGGGAGAGGAGCGCTAATTCATCAATTGATCATGAAATTCCCTGTGTCCCGGTGGACGAGGACGGGCCTGGGCATAGAGTAAAACTTATATAGGTTCCCTGCCTTATCAGTATAAATTATTTCTTATTTAAATCCAATAATACTACTATTTATATATAAATATATCATTAGCATATGCGTATCATAATGTCGATGTGTGTATCATATTGTCATAAATAACATTGTAAGAAGCATTTTTTTGATATTTAACAACTAAGTATACAAAGTTGAAGTGGATCCAATTGTTTGAGGTTAAAAAAATCGAACCGAACTGAACTTGGCCAAAAAGTTCAAAATTCTATAATCATTCAGATTAATCCCAACTATAAAAAGAAAATTTGAACAAAAAATGTTTTTTTTGACTTGAAACTAAAAAGCTTAATTCTTCATTTAATTTAATAGCTCGGCTTAGGTTTAAATCAGTATTAAACGAAATATTTGGTAACGGTTTCGGTTCGATGTTGAACGAAATGTCCGGTTTGAGTTCGACATCACACTGAATAGTTCGGTTTGTGTTCGATTAGGTGAACTTGCCACGCATTATATATGAAACTAATTATTTGCGAATATTATGTTTCTTTCGGAAAACTAAACTCTGTTTGACTTTATAATTAAAAATTGTTTTTTGTGGATCAAGCTGTTCCGATTCCACTTTGCGCTTCTTTCATCGTATTATTTTACTCAGAAGTCTTGTCACGCAGGTTTAACTCAGAGTACAGTGACCTGTGTGCGCCGGTGGAGATCGATCGGATCGAATGGGCCAACAAGATGGCACCCAACGAAGGGCTGTTGAAATTCCACCAGGCCGCCGACACTGATGGATTCGTACCCGACATGTCGGCCAACACCAAAATAACCGACATCTATCTGCAGATAAAAGTGATCTCTAGAAGGCCTGCCAAGGCCGTGTTCGAATTTTCGTGCCAGTACAACAGTAACACCAGACGGTACACGGTTTACGTAAGTTTTGCCCAAAGTTCACGTCAATAGTATTTATTACACTGCTTATGCCAATAAATATTTTTCCGTTTTGAATTAGTTTTGATAGAATATATTATCTAATATTTATTATAATATCTATTTTTTTTTTTTTTTTTGAGATAATATATATTTTGTTATTCTTAACGTTTCAGGAAAAACATATCAGCAGAATTAATCAGTACGGAAACCAAAGTTGGTGCGTCGCGAAAACCCAACCTCAACTTAACAAGTACTGTTACTGCAAACAACCAAACTGAGAAAGTCTGAAGTCTACATGGAAACGTGATCTGGACACGAATATTTTCCAAGTGGCACCGTTCAAACTCAGCTTTGCGTCACTCGGAATTTTATTCATAACATTTTTAATTTTATGACGTTTTGTGTCATAAAAAATCTCTCAACTGTTATTTTTACTACCTATATGTGTACCTGTATTATTATTAGTTTAATAATAATATTAGTGTTACGTAGACTTTTAATCGTCCAGTTTAAACTATTAGTTCATTTAAGTTCATAATTCCATATAATTGTATCCAACTATTTTATGTGTAATTTCAAACTATTATTCAAAACTAGTTTTTTTTTCGTTTTGAATATTATAAGTTTGATTACGTTTTTAAAGTTTATTCATTCACTGCAAAATATTTTGTGGTGAATGAAATTTTGGCGTTGCCGATTCGGTGATAGAATTGGAAATATTATTGTATTTTCTCACAACTTACATAACACTAATCCGATGATAGTTAACAAAAAAAACATGATTTGGTGATATTTAGGGGAACAGATGGTAGAAAGGAATACTTGACGTTCATACCCGAATTTAAATCAATCTAATTAATTCAAATTTTCAAAAAAAAAAAAAAACCAATGATAGAAATAATAATTAATTTTAATTTAAAAACGTTTTACTAAATTATAAAAAAAAAAAAACAACATAATTTAATACAATATTAACAGCCCTATGGCATAGCTGATACTCAGTAATCGACGATCCGTTGGTTGGCCACTGAGAAATACCAATTTCTGACTGAAAATCAATTGCTCATATTGGGTACATTTCTCTCTTAGCTAGGATATTTCTTTCGACATAACGTACAGATTATATATCTTTTAATAGATTATTCTCCACATCATTATAATATTTTATCATCGGAAATCGGAATATTATATTATTAATATTGACATATTTTCCAAAAATACTATCACCCGAAAGGCATCTCCGTTAGACGTATTTTGTATTTATTATTTTGATTTTATAATGTAAAATTTCTGTATATTGACTATCCTAAATATTGCGAAGTGGATCTATTTCGTCTAGTCAGATTAATTTCTCGATTTATAAACTACGCATAGACTTATATTTTTCTGGTCAATTTTAAGACGATTTATTTTAAATATATAACATTCACTAGGTACTGAAAAATGATATTTCATACTTAAAGATGTTTACTTATAATATTCATAAATTGTATTTTTGATTTTATAATTACTTCTGTGACGTATAATATAATGTAATGTGAAAACTACGTTTTCCAAATGTTTGTTATAAATTGTGATGTTTTAGTGGATATTTAGTGTTCATGACTCATCTATAAACGCATTGTTATTTTGAAATTGTTAGTATTTGTAATATATTTTTTTTTACGGGGTTCAACATTTTGAAGTACGCGTGCCATATAATATAGTATTGTATTTGTATTTATTCAGAGTATTATTTGTGTAACTATTTTTAGTTGTTTAAATCCATTTTTTTAGATCAGGTGACAGGTGTAAGTAATTATTTGGATTAAGTGGAGTTCGTAAATATCTAAGATAACATCTCTCTCTCTCTCTCTCTCTCTCTCTCTCTCTCTCTCTCTAAAAAAATTCAATTGTTGACATTTATTTTAAGGAAATACAGGTTAGGTTACCACATGTTCGTTTTTGTATGTAAAGTTGATAACATAGAACGTTTGGTGATCACAACGATTAACCATAATAATTGAAGTATTGATATATTGGGCTATCTTAAATCCGGTATTATTGATACTGATATAATGATTTGAAATAATAAATTATGGATTTCATAAGCAAAACGACAGTATTTGTAGCACAATAGCTTCGGCTACTTCATTAAAAACTGAAATAATAAATATCATTATTTTATTATTTCTTTGTGGTTCTTTGCTATTTCGATAATTAATAATATTTTTGATAATTCTTTTAAGTTCACCGTGAACGTACAATCAACGCGAATAATTTTCCACGAGATTTCTACAATCTAGACACTGAAGCACATTCGTTCTCGTTTGAAAGAAATTGAACAGTTTCACTTGAGTTTCTTTTAAACGAATATTTTTAATAATCTAAAGTGGGTAGTGAACCGAATGTGGGTAAAAAAAAAAACCCCCGTTATAATATCACATGTGTAGTGTACAATTATAATTACATCATAATATCTCCACCACACGTATAATTGGAGCACACTTGAGGTGTTCTCAATGTATGCACTTAATGCACCGTCAGTGTAGTGCAATTATTTTATACTGTATTGACTTTTTTTTTAAGACAAACTAAAAACGTTGTAGCGTTGTGCCTTCGGTTCGTTTGAACTTATGACCGATTAAAAACAAACGGAATGAAATACGATAAACCAATATTGAAGGGTTTAAATTGTAATAAGACCTAAAATAGGTGTCGCATGACTGTGTTCGACGGACTTCAATTATCATTAATTAATTAACACTATTATAGTATGAAAGTGCAGTGTGGGTTACAGACAAGCTATAAATCTATCAATCCTGACTGACTGATAAACATAGAACTTAAATCCCTAAAATATGATAGCTTAGGACTTATAATGTTTCCTGCAGTACCTTCGTAACACTGTGTAGTGGTGCTCTAAGAAAGGATTGTTCAAATTCGCATTTTAAAGATGTTCCACACATGCATTTTGAGATTCACGATCAAATTTTTTTGGTTTTTAAATGGTTGCCACTGGTTACATATAATAAAATGCGAATTTACTTATCTATTATAACTATACAATTATTTATTTAATTTTATATAAAAACGAATGTTTGTCATTCCTAAACGGCTGGCCCGATTTTGATGGCATTTTTTGTGTGCGTTTGAGTGGTTTCCTGGATGATTTAGATTCACCATTGGATCAGCTAAGTCCAACCCGGAGGGTCCTCAAACAGAGATTTTAAGATTGATCATGGGAATTTTTGTTGGTAGTATTGGTTATAAGAGAAATAATTGGTAGAAATTAGTATTTATTATTTTATTGGTTGCCATTAGTTATTCGGGTAGTTGAGATACAAGCATGCATCAAATCGAATTTTTTCATATTGCCTACCTAGGTGGCTTAGTTGCACTCACTGCAGAGAGTTACACCCAAAAATAGTTGAACAATCACAATTTTTTTAAGAGTTGTAATTTTCCACTGGCAACGAAATGCGAGGGATCATTTAATATATTCTATTAATAGATGTTGGTCTGTATGTCCGTCTATAATTAGGTGATATACTCAAAAACTACTGGACCGTTTTGAATAAAAGTTATATCAATCGATTCCATTAGACTAGAATGTTTATAGCTTATTTTTCAGCCCACGAAAATAGTATATTGTATCATTTTTATATTATTTAATATTATAATTAGTAGAAATATGGTATATAATATATTTTATAGTTTTATACACACAACTTAAGGATTCTTGACGCCTAATCTGTCAACAAAGATTAAGTACTGGAAATAATTTAAATGCTACCTAGAAAATTAAACATTGGTTGATCAATGAGATATCTGTGGCACTGTCAATCAAGAGATCTGATGAAACATTTAAAGAGCGACACGCACGCCGGGAATCTGACCGGATCAAAACCTGTACAATTATTTTTATTTTGTGTATTTAAATAGTTTACATTAGTTACATGTTATATTACTATTATAATATTAGTAGAGTTGTGGCATATAGTATTACATTTAAAAAACAGATTTTAGCAAGGGCGACGCCAGGCGGGACGCGTATTAGGAAACCCAGGACGCCACAGAGCGTCTTATGTATACCACGTTCTCATTGGCCCATTTCAAATTGCTCGCTTTTTTTTTTTATCATTTATCAAATAATTTAATTTAATTTAATAATATAATATTAATTTAAATATTATATTATATTATTTAATTTAAACAAATTAAAATAACTATTTAGTAGGAAAAGGTACCTAACTAATATTAAACAATATTATTATGTTATTATAATTCAATGAATTAATGTAGAATGTGATCTCTACACAGTTATTTTTATTTTTTACTTTAGTAGGTACCTATACCTACCTCAGAGTGAACATTTCTTACTGGACTAAGTGTATTGTACTTGTACACACTTTTTGTGTTAGCTAAAAAGATTGTTTAGGTTCTTCCTAACATAGAAACAAAATACCAATCTTACTTAAATGTTTATTTTTACTAAAACATAAGTTTCTTAATTAAAATAGGTATAGGTACCTTACTAAAATTTCATGCTCTAACATTAATATATGTATTGCATTTTTAATAAAGACATAACTATTTTTAGAGGAACGAATTGAACTAGTGTTCAATGATTATTTTAATAATATATGGAATGGTAGCTACTGAAGCTAACCAAATTACTAATAACTTATTAATAGTTGTAACTTCACATGAATGGTGCAAAAACAATTTTGGACGTCTAGTTTGGTAGTCTAGTTCATCAATGACTGAAAAGCCCTGTTATTATTTTCAATTTTATATTTGTAGGTACACTACATTACTACCTACATCAGCAGTGGTTTATAAATAATATTTGTTTACACATTTGTAATTAAACTAATTCAACCTTTTTAAAATGTTATGCAAGTATTAAGTAAACAAATATTAAGGTTGGTAAAAAATAATACATACATGTCTACCTACATAGTTAGAGGTAGGTAGGGGTTACACGATCATTGAAAATATTTAAATATTAGACAAAAAAAAAAATCGGACCCCCTTCAATTTCAGAACTTATTTTTCCTATAAAAAAAATAATTTTACTTCACACATTTTAAAATTTAGATTAAGAATAAACAAAAAACAATGAAATTCATTATAGCAGGCGTATAATAATGTTTTCAATTGATCAAGTTTAAGTAAAAGTTTAATACTATTAATAATTTAACCCAAATTACTACTAAAAAAATATACATTATATTATTTACATTTTTATTATTTTATTATATTTATTATAACGGTTCACGGACCACCAAGATTA